AGGTATTTGAAGTTAGAGTTACCATGTAGAAACTAGGAAGTAGGAACCATTGCGGCTATTGGTAATCTCGTAGATGATAGACACTAAAATTATAATTGTTCTTCATTACTCTGTCATGTCTATGAAATCAAAAGTATTTAAATTATTTCTAATTGTTTTTAATTATATAGTTTATTCTGATCAAAAGTATTTAAAGATGAAGAACATATTAGTATAAAATCAAAAGTGATTCTTTATCCTCTGGCTTCTAGCAAAACCGACCAAGTAGGGTCCAGGAATTGGAGTCGCAGCTTGCTGAACTTCAAGAGGATATAAAGAGAGCGAAGGACCAACTTAACTCATCCGAGTCATTGAAGAACAAAGCACAGCAGGAGGCTGAAGAGGCAAAGAAGCAGCTCGTAGCAATGTCGAAAGATCTGGAGGAATCCCAGCAACAGCTTATTGAACTATCTAGCTCTGAAGAAGAACGGCTTCAAGAGCTCCATAAAATTTCTCAGGATCGAGATCGTTCCTGGCAATCTGAACTAGATTCTGTCCAGAAGCAGCATGCAATGGATTCCTCTGCTTTAGTATCTGCCATGAACGAAATCCAGAAACTGAAAATTCAGCTTGAAAGGGTACGTGAATCTGAAGCTACTCAGATTAACAATGCAGAGTCCGCATATAATGAGATCCAAGGCTTGAGGGTGGAACTTGATGTAACTCTCTCTTTAGTGGAAACGCTGAAAATTGAGGTAAGAGATTGCAAAGACTCTGAATCCCGAGCTTTGGAAGTACTAGGTAAAACTCAAATGCAACTAGAAGCAGCAAATAAAACCGTGGAAATGCTCGAGTTAGAAGCTACGAAAGCATCTGAAGTTTACAAATCCTTAGCTTTAGAGTTGGACCAATCAAGAGCTCTAGTAAAATCATTGGAGGAACTAGCGAGCAAACTGCAGGCTAATATGGTTAGTAGTGCTAACAAAGATACATCGGGTCCAATCGGTGAAACAGGACTTCCACTGGATGATGTGAAAAACAAGGAGATAAATCAGCTCAAATCTGAGCTTATCTCTGCCAAATCTGAAGTCGGGCAGTTAAAATCTGCATTGGAGGTTGCTGAGGTAAGATACGAACAAGAGTGTGTCCAGAGCACAATACAGATTAGAAGTGCTTATGAACAACTCGAGCATGCAAAATCAGAGTCTAGTCAGAGACAGGCTGAATTTTATGAGAAATTGAAGAGTGCTGCAGCTAATATCGAAGAACTAAGGGCAGCCCTGGTGTACAAAGAATCTCAGTTGCAGGGTGTATCAGAGGAAAATGAGGGGCTCAAGCAAATCCATCATCATACAGAAAGAGAATATGAACTTCTGGTGGAGCAAAAAGAATTGCATGCCGATATAGCTGATTTGATGGCAAGACTATTGGGCAAAGAGACGGAGTTGCAAAACCTAACTGAGGAAAACAACTCACTGAGGATGGAATTAAAGAAATTGGAGTTGGAGAAGAATAAAATTAGTGATGAGGCTGTTGGTTCGGTTGAAGCAGAAAGGGCTGCAGAGTATGAGGCATTGATAAAACTCGGCTACACAACTGAAGAAGCCGATAAAAGTGACAGAAGAGTAGCACAGGTAACTGAGCAGTTAGATGCTGTGCAGGCTGTGAATTCTGAGTTAGAGGCTGAGTTAAGGAGATTGAAAGTGCAGTCAGACCAATGGAGAAAAGCGGCTGAAGTAGCTGCCGCTACGCTTTCTGCTGGAAACAATGCGAAACTTGTGGAGAAAACAGGTTCACTTGACAGTAGCTACAACAACAACTATAATAATTCTATCAATGGCAAAATGAGTTCACCTTATTTAGAAGACACGAATAATGAGTCGCCAAAGAAGAAAGACACAAACATGTTAAAGAAGATTGGAGTGTTATGGAAGAAGAATCATTAATAGATGGATATATGTCAGGTACTATATCACACACTCATTCCATAATCAAATTGTTCAACTTATATGTTCATTAATTATACTTGTGTTTGTTTGTTATGTCAGGTACTTTTGTGGTTTGTTCACCATTCAAGCCATCCTTGGAGAGACATTGTTTTCACGATATTCCGGGAAATGCTTACGAAGATACATTGAAACTGCTGAGATTCAGTGGTTCCAGTTCCCCAACTCGCCGCATGATTCATCTTTGTAATGTTGCAGTCAGTGTTAAATGTATTTGTTCTTTCTGCAAATTTTTGTGTCAAAACATACATGGTAAATAGTTATTGAGGGCTAAGTGAAGGTAAATTGTTTCTATCATGTTATTTGAGACTAATGCCACTATTGTCCCCTTGGTAACTTGCAATGAATTATTTTCCATTATTGTTCATTTATTAGAGATCTTACTTGCATTCCTTTATTCGATGGTGCTATTGATTACTTTTCTTTCTATTTCCTCTTAAATAATGGTTAAAACTAAAAGGCATGATATTTTTTTCCTATTCTCACTTTATGGGTAAAGAACTAATCATTTTTTGGTGCATATGGATGTAAGGGGTTCCAGTGCGAAACTGATGGAACCGGACCAAACCAAACCACAAAATGTGGTTTTGTTTCACGGTTCAGTTGGTTATTTCTTTAAAGAATCATTTATGTATGGTTCATGGTTTAGAAATTTAGGAATTGTTGGAACCGAACCACATATTAAAGAAATAGATACTACATAATGATATTGTATTATTGTTTACATTTTTCGACTAAATATGTGGCTTAAATTAACAATTTTGTGTAAATTATAGTGTTATATATGTTATTAAATTATTATTATCTTACTATTATATATTATATATGTTACTATTTACTATGTGTCTTAATAATTTGAAACATATCTTCTAACTTTTGTAATATTCAAATTGAAATTAACATACACCATACACCATAAATTGTTTTACATATATTATTATGGGGCCCTATTATTATATATGTTCCTAATTGTGGATTGTAATGTTATATAGGTTAGCAAAACCCATATATCATTCGATTTTTCTTCCTAAAATTACACAATTATTATATAGTTACAAACAATCAATTATGAGTTTCAATTTTTTACTGATGTATATATGATTCATATTTTCTTATAATAACAATAATAATGTTTTTTCTTATATGGATAAACAATGTCTCTTGTAATACATTTTGAAATTTCAATTGATTTAAGATTTTTTTTAAAACAAGAAAACCATGGAACCGAACTGAACCACTCAAGAGCAGTTTGGTTTGGTTCGTGTAAATTTATGGTTAATTGAGGCAAATTAAAGCAAATATTTGTGTTGGGTTCGGTCATTGAAATGCACCAAAAATTGAACCGAACTTTTACACCCTTAATAGTTACCTTTCCAACAAGTGTTACTCATAGCAATTGAACCTTTGACTTTTTTGTCGTTCTCAGCAGAACCTTACATAACTATAGTCGTCCTTAAAAGGTATGTGATTTTTGTTTGGTATATGATTGGTGATTAAGGAAGTGCTTCAGTAATATGGTACTAAAGTTGTTTCCTTGTCCATAGGTTTGATTAATTGTTTGTAGCACAATCAGTTAAATTAACTGTTTTTTAAATGCTGACTAGGAAAATTTCTTGATATATGTAAATAAAAATCGAATCAGACACACCCAGCACTTGTTGGCTTGTATGTTATTGTTATGTAAAATTCCATTCAGAAATCGTGTTTAGCATTTTTGTTTGTGCATCTCTTAACAATTTTGTGTAAAGCCCTTCATAGCTAGCAGTAATATTTTGTAACTATCTGTACTATACTTTTTTTAGAGTAAACAGTAAGTGATGTTTTTATGTTATTAAAACATTATTATTTATGTCTTAATTATTGATACACACGAGAATAATATGTTGACAACGTAAAATACTTTAAATTGTTCATGTACACTCATTAAACTCTACTTTTATATATTAGGAAAATAGAGAAAGAGGGTTATATAGTTAGACTTATGGAAATGGGTTAGATGATTGGGCTTGATTGGGCTCATATTTTTACTAGGTATATATTATTAAAATAGGAATTTTTTACATACACATTACATCCCAATTATACTATAATTTTTTACCTTCACATATGATGTATTATGAATATGAAGGAAATAAAAATTCTAAAATTATGATGAATACTAACCTTTACAATAATTTTATGGAGACAAATCAGAAGTTGATGTTATGGTCATACTAACCTCTATAATAATTTTATGTTTTTAAAATTTCTATGATAAATAAAATGCAGCAACCCGTGCACGAGTATTTTACTAGTATTTTATTAAAATTGGTTTTTTTTAGTTTAGACGAGCTAAATTATTTAAAAACGAGACTTATCTAGCCAAGTTTAGGCTACTCATTTCCCATTTTCAGGATACTTAGCTTAGTAATGAACATTCATAAAATTAGTACCAATTGTCATGGCATTATTTTAGGCATAACAAATATCTCATGGTTGGATTGGACTACAATTAATTCCTTAACTTTACACATAATTTTAAATTTTTTTTTTTGCAAGGCTTCACTTGTTAAATCTGCCTTAGGAATGCACTATGGTTGCCCTCTATGTTGCAAGTTGTAATGCTATGAATTTTGCATTATTGACTTAGAAATTATCTTAATAATTTTATAAAGGTAAAATATATACATAATATTAATAGTACATTCTTAATATACTCTTTATAAAACACGGTCTAATAAAGTAGATGTGTTAATAAATAATTATTGTAGACACTCAATTTTGTCCTACCTTCTTCTGTTATTCTTTGTCCAAAACATTAAGACAAAAATAATTTTTTTTTTATGATTTGTGAAAAAAAACATTTGGGATAAATAAAATTAACCTGGGTTGTGTTGTATTTTAGTGAAACACGTGTATTTCAATGCCAAGGACATATCAATATTTAATGGGAGTGGTTTCTCCATATACATCTGCATTTAAAAGTTATTCAAAAGAGCGAGATTTCAAAATAATATTATTATTGAGCCCACTGTCAAGTGTACAATGTCCATGAAATAAAATTGGACTGGGAACAAAATATGGAAAGGTTGAAGAAGCTTAAACTCCGCCAAGTATCTGCCTAAGACTCCTCACAGAGGTAACAAATACTCTTCTACACAGCTGATTTATGCTAGAATTCTTGCTCAACATATGTGAGAGGGATAGGACTATTTGCCTCCTTAAACAATATCCCTCAAGGGATTTTCCAAAACTGATTTCCTGCAAGCATTTATGATTTGAGTTAGCCTTAAGGATAATTGGCAACTCATAATGGTTATCATGATTCACAGTTAAACAGTTTCTCCTTATTAAAACACAATCATGAATATTAATTAATGAGTGAGAATAATCAGAGTAAAATGACAGCAGTCACGGGCAGTTTCGTTGGTGAAAATCAATGTTATTATATTGAGCAATTGAAGTGATTTTGGCAATAACTCCAATCAGCTATAAGAAGCAGCCAACACAGAACATAGAAAAGAAAAGTTAGCTTCTATCCAAAAAGTTTTTATCCTCCATCATTCGAATACATACACACATCTATCCATTTCTTCCATCACTAATTCCTTTTTTCATTTCCATACTATACACATAAGCTATTCCTCATATTCCATACACACTCCTATCATTCAAACAAAACAGATACGCATATTAGAGAGAGACTTTCCCGCAATCAGAATCACAAATACCATATGTTCGGAAAACATTCATTCCTCATCCATTACATCATATCACATAGTCATATTGGATTCGCCATCTTTGCTACACATCATAGCAGACCATAGGCACAAAGAGGGTAACTACAGAACCATCCCATAATAGGTATCACAGATAAAGATCAAGCAGAGAGTTTAAGCGACGGTTGGCGAATAATCAGAGACGACATTTAAAAGGTAAGTCTCGGGTAAGGTGTTTATCATGTGAACACATATATAGAGGCATTTTGTCCATCATATACTGATAACATAAATTATGTTAAACCAAGAAAAACTCAATGGAGACATTCCATATTTTAAATGCATCTTTTTGGGTCATCAATTGCTGATATAATTCCATATGCTTTGCACATGTATTTTCTTTTATTGAGTTACCCAGGAATGCCTATATTCAAATTCGATTGGTTCCACAAAGATTTAGGATTAGTTTGACTAACATGGAAACAAGCCTTATACCCTGATAATCTTAAAGCACTTTGATTGTGTTCCATTGTCACCCAAACAACTTTTCATATGCAATCCACCAATCAATCTAAACAATCAATAAGTCAATATAGAGGAAATATGGTTTATTACCCAATCCGTTTCAATCCCAATGGTCTCAAGTAGAGGTGTCAAAATGCGCTACCCGGGCAGGTTCGGGCTAGCCCGTATCGGGTTCGAGCTAAAAAGCTCGTATACAATTTATATATATCAAAATGTAGCCCAAGCCCGCCCAATGCGGGTTGCGAGTTGTGGCGGGCCGGCCCGCATAATATTTAAAAAAATATTTAAATTTTAATATATTTAATATATATATCATTTGATATTAATGCATAAATTTTTTAACACAATTGTTATACTCAATGCAATCAAACTTACAGATATAATGTTGTCTTTGAGCCAAGATTTCATGTTAAATCTACGGATATGATTCATAATATAACTTATTCATTAAATATTTTATTTATATTATACTTTCAATCTCTAACACAATATAATTTGTAATTTCACTTCAATATAATAAACAATATAATAAATAGATACATTAAAAAATAATATCACTTTGGTTTATAGTAATGATAGTATAGACTCAAATTTAGAATGAATTCTATGTGTCGAAGTATAATTATCATCATAATATTTCTTTACTTTGTGTATGGATATTTTTTTATACTCTTTATCAACATTTTCATTATAAACTGTTATGTTAAATTTGGTTGTGTTGAGTTCTCTACGGTAAACAATTAAGTTGTTTTTCAGTTTCGTTGTAAAAATTATTTTCTTTATTATATTTTTGTCGTAGAATTTAAATCTAATTAAATATCCAATTAAAAAAAAGAAAAATAGAATCAATATGATTTAATGTTCTCAGTTAATTTGATACACTATTTTGCTAATGTGTTAAAAATGATATTAAGCAAAATAGGAAAGATAATATAATTATTAACTTGATAACATTATTGTAATTTATAAATATATATGTTATAGACATTACTCTATTTTTTATTCAAAGTTAATTACACAATATTTAGTATATATTATCTATTTTTTATTGTAAAATAATTTTCATCTTATTACCTAGCCAAAAAGTCTAAAAAAAAATTTAAATAAGAGAAAACGGGTAGCCCGAACCCGCCCGGGTAAGCCCGGTCCGAGCCCGGTTTTAATATAGCACGGATTCACTAAAAAGTGCCAAATTTAATACAAAAGCCCTACAAAATTTCAGGTTGTGGCCGGCCGGCCCGCGCGGGTTCGCCCATTTTGACACCTCTAGTCTCAAGCACCGAAACAGTTAGTTGTTTATTTTTGCCGCTATTGTCACTGCCGCTCGTCGGAGAAGAAAGAGGAAGGAGACGACTACCATGCTTGAGCTAGGAACCCGCCGCTGTGCTTGTCACTTCGCTCCACCGTCGTCGCTGCAATCGGAGAAAGAGACCGGAGAAAAGGTAAAACCGAATATGGAGGGAGATGAAGAAGATTGAAACAAAATAGGGTCAAGGAGTACCTTTGTTAACCGCCGTCGAAACCGCCGTCGAAACCGCCATGTCTTTCGGTGTCCTTCAGCGTCGCCGCCATCCGCCTTCGCCTCCGGCGTTGTTTTTTTCTTCGTCTTCTCCTTTTTCTCTTCTTCTCACCTAGTCTCTCTTCTATCAACATTATCTAACCCTCAACAAATGAAAACACCAAAGGAACCCCCTCCCCAATCTGATTTCATTCGTAGTGGGCTAAAGGCCCACGTTTTTTTGTTTTAGTTCTTTTTGTCTTGTTTTTTATTATGTTTTTTTTGGTTAATTCATCCATTACCTTTTACATAACCGATGATAATAGGTTTTTAAATCAATACATTCTTGTTTCATTTTACCAAACTTTTTTAAGTATTGTCATAATTATATAGAATTAAATTGCATGATCTAATATTAATAATTTTAAATCCCTTTGCATCTAAAAAATCTTTTTCTAAATTAAGTGTTCCTTAATGATTTTCAAAAAGAGTTTGATAGTCCGGTCGACGACTTGTGTCGTTTCTTCCTTTCTGCTTTAAAAGTGGAAAGTCGGTGCACGACCAATATTGTCTTTTTACTATTAATCTCTATTTCATAAAATTAAAAAAATTATTTCTACGATGAGCCTTGATTTCCCTATTGCACTTAGGGATACGAAGGAGCAAGATGAACTCTTGTCAGACACAACAATAAAAAATAAAACATTTTGCTTTAGTTATTAATGTTTAATCAAAGAAATTTTAAGGGTATAAAAGTCCATGTTATTAGTGAGGGTACCGTTTTAATACGGGCGGACAGGGTGTTAATCCATTTCCCGGTCCGTAATTGACTTCTGAGCTCAGAATCTCTGATTAAAGACCAAATTATCCTAATTGGACATATTTAGAGTTTTCTACGTTTTAACCGCATAAAACGTAGTGGCGACTCCAAATCAATTGGAAGAGGTAGAAATCGAGTTCGTCTCTCCCCAAGTCACAGGACCGGTCTTCCAACCGAAAATCAGGTCGCGACAATTATATATTAATATCTAATAATATATAGATATGTTAAAAAAAGTTTAAAGCACTAAAATTAAATAATTTTTTAAATGTTAACCAAGTTGTGCTGCTCTACTAGAAGGGATTTATGATGCAATTTGACATACATAAATTATATCATAATAAACGAACTTAGACAAAATGAACCACACTCACATGCCTAATGGTGAGAAGCAATTTTTCATTTACAAAATTGGTGAGTAGCAATTTTTCATTTACAAAATTGGTGAGTAGCAATTTTTTCATTTACAAAATTCATACCATTACAATTTTCAAGATATATTTCCAAAGGGATGTTTTATGAAGTACCCTACATCTACTCAATGATGTTTTAGATTCTGGTTTAAAATTTAGGATTTGGTAATCATGTGAAAGGATAATAAAAGTGGGTGATTTTGCATCTCTTAGTTATTCTTTATGAAGAAGAAATTAACTCTATCATCCAAAAGTGCTTTTTTATGAACTTTAGTGGTTTGTGATTATTCATTCATTTAAGCTATAGAAAAAGATTAGCATTTGAATGTATTTTTTGTAACTACAATAAACAAATATAACACAAGAAATGTTTGAATTGTATATACCAAAAAAGAAATGTTTGAATTGTTCTCACTAACTTTTTTCTGTTTTAAGAAAGTTTTGAAAAATTATAAGCAATTTAGATGACTAACTAATATTTTTCAATGAACTAAAATCACACAACTAACTTGTCTTTTAGCAAAGTAAATTAAATATATATTTTTCTAAAACAAAATTTTACATATAAACCTTCAAAGTTAAAATGTTTTATAATGAATAACATAAGCAATTAAAGAGTTAAGGTATAAGGGATATAAAACACAAACTATATACCAATTTACCCATCTATTGCAAGTTTATATTTTTGAACATCCAGCCTCTCTAGGTTCAATACTTAAACCTTGATTTCATAATTAAATTTTCAGAAAATCAGACTAAATAAATAGATTAAGATAAGAGTAAATTACACTCACACCCCCTGAGTTTTAATGAAATTATACAAACCATCCCTCCCTTTTTTGTCCTTACACCAACCACCACTCCCTCCTATACAAACCACCCCTAAATTTATACATACATTACACTGACTACCACTGCATGTTATAAAAGTGTAATATTTTAAAGAAAAAACGTGTGATAAATGTAATTAAGTTAAACAAAATATTGTGTATTGTGTAACACTTCAAATAGTACAAAAGCGAGTGTTTCTTTATTATTTTTGTGTCATTAAAAAATACATTAATAATTTCAAATAAATGTTTAAATAACTTTTATATTATTTTATAACGAGTCAAATAATGAAGATGCATTGACTCTTATATTATTTGAATTTGTCTACACAATATACAATATTTTGTTTAATTAATTGCACACATAATACATTTTTTGTTTAAAATATTACACGTTTATATCATGCAGGGGTAGTCAGTGTAACATATGTACAAAATTAGGGGTGGTTCGTGTAAGGACAAAAATGTGAGGGGTGATTTGTGTAATTTCACTAAAACTCAAGGGTGTGAGTATAATTTACTCTTAAGATAATAATGTATCTCCTGGTATAAGGAGATAAATTATTTTCTTCGGCCACTAAAATCGTGAATGTGTACCATTTAATCATTTTCTAAAAAAAATATTTCTAAAACTAAACAAAATAATATACATGTCATTCTTTTACTGGCTATAGGAGATAAGTTATCTCATAGTATGAGGAGATACTTTATTTTCATAGATTAAATACGAAGATAAAAAAATTGCATATTATATAGTAGATGATTGAACATCATCACCTAAAAATCCTTAACAATACATATAACATCTTCTAATTCAATTGGATTGTTAAAACCTTGTAAAATACATATTCTCATTTGTCAACTCAACTCATTACCTAAGAAAACTAAAGAAATACAATTTATGAACTAAACTCACTATTCAATATAAGAGATCGGGAAACATGTATCATAAGAATATATTATTATTGTGATCAATAAGCAAAATATTTAATTATTAATTTTTTATTCAATTTTTTTTTCCAAATGATTATAACTAGGAACATTATAAAAAGTAAAATGATATAACCAAATTCTCATACTAATCATTTTATTCACAATAAAGTGACATATATCTATTGTAAACAAATTACTAATAAATATAAAGTATCACTTTGTGACATATAACACTTTTTTGTAGGTATGAATATTAATATGATGATTTAATAGGAATATATAATATTAGTCTAATAAAAATTAGTATCTAGAAATAGACCTTTTTTTTTTTTTTTTTTTTTAACTTTATTCACAGTGCTCTGAACAGTATAAAACCGCAACGCATCTTTTAATACAAAGATTAGGGTTTTGTTGTGCAGTTGCTGCTCGTTCATCTTCCATAGCCTCCTCTCCCAAGCTCTGCTCAGAAAAGCGAACCAGCCACCAACATGGGGTAAAAATTTCTACATCACATTCTCTACAAACTTTTTCTGTTTTTATTATAAGAAAATTTACATTCAAGGATGAACTTTAGTTCGTTGATTTTGGTTTACTTTCAATTAATCCGTGGACAATCAAATATTTTCATGGGTTTTTAGTTAATCCCATATGAAAAAAGTGTGTTTTTTTATCATGGGTCTTTTGTTTTTTCACTATAGGTTATAGATTGCTTTTGCCTTTTTTTTCATGATGGATAGGGATTATGCTATGCTATTTGATTTTTTATTTGAATTGTAATAATGCATTCACAAGAATTCCACATTCATAGTCTTAGTTTCCTGTAAATTTTGCATGTTCTTAGTTTACACATGAAGATATTGTTTGTTAGATTGAAATAAAAAGCCATGACAAACATTTTCTTTATGAATTATCTGTCTTTATTTATACATGAAGGTATTATTTGCCATTGCAGTATCTAGGAATTGTTTGATTGATGTGGAAGAGGTTTAGATTAATTACATTTGTCACTCCTACTGTTTCCAAAGCACCCCTTAAGAGTGGTTGATGTATTTTCAATAATTACTCTTTAATATGATGTTCAGTGTAATGGTAACATAAAAAGCAATTTGAGGTTGGTGTAAACAATACGGATGAAAGATTTAATTAAGCTAAACTTTATGGGAGATGTTAGGGCAGTCCAATGTTTTAAATTGTGGTTATGGTTAGCGATTGCGATAACGGTTGCGGCTACTGTGATTGCGGTCATTGTGGCTATTGTGATGCGGATTGTGGCCGTTGCGGTGTGAATTATTTTGTTATTAAAACAACGTTTTTGAATCTGATGCGGTCCGAGGTGGTCTGATGCGATCTGATGTGGTTGCGTTGTGGCCCGATGCGACCGCATCATTGTGATTCGAAGTCACCGCAACTGCAATAACAACGTTTTTGATCTGTTATCTTATTCCTCAATCACTGGGGCAGTCTAGTTCCCTTTTTGATATACATTACAGCATAGAATGTAGGAATTTTGATCTTTTTCACATGTCTGCAGGAAGACACGTGGAATGGGAGCTGCTCGCAAGCTGAAGTCCCACCGCCGGAGGCAAAGGTGGGCCGACAAGTCATACAAGAAATCTCATCTTGGCAATGAATGGAAGAAGCCATTTGCTGGGTCATCCCATGCCAAGGGCATTGTCCTTGAAAAGATGTAAGATTAACTAAACATGATCTGTTATCTTATTCCTCAATCAGAGCTCATCCATGCTAAGAAATTATTATGTTATTCTATGTGCAGAGGTATTGAGGCTAAGCAACCGAACTCTGCCATTCGTAAGTGTGCCAGGGTTCAACTCATAAAAAATGGCAAGAAGATTGCTGCATTTGTTCCCAATGATGGTTGCTTAAACTACATTGAAGAGAATGTAATTATTTTTTGTCCATATACACACCACTTTGCTATCCTTGTTATATTGTAATTTTGGAAGTGTATTGTATTCTTTTGTCATATCTTGTTAGTAAAACGTTAGTTATTTTATGGTTTAACATGGGTTGTGGCCTGTGTTTATAGGATGAAGTGTTGATTGCTGGATTTGGACGGAAAGGTCATGCCGTCGGAGATATTCCTGGTGTCAGATTCAAGGTTGTAAAGGTCTCTGGTGTTTCTCTCCTCGCTCTTTTCAAGGAGAAGAAGGAGAAGCCGAGATCTTAAATTCGTATTTGTGGAATGCCTCCTTTCTTTGATTTCATTAGTTTCTCTTAA